GGGGGGGGGGGGGGGTACTGAACACTGGGCGACAATAAAAATGGTTTTATTGAAACAGTCAAGTGTGTATATTGACCATAGAGAAATAAACGCAGCACCATTTGTAGACTGATGAAAAGGCGGAACCAAATTTCACACTTTCAAAGGCGGAACTCTGTACGTGCTTTTGAAACTTTTGACCGGAATTAAGGAAACACTACCACGAATACCGTATTAAGGCCATTTTTGTCTTTTATGCACTTTGTAAAGAGTGGTGTATGTATAAACAGTAGCTAAGGCTGTCTCTAGTGTTGTTCAGTTTCTATGGGATTTGTGTGCATAGACTAGAGATTAGTATAAAACTTAGCTATGTTCTGACTGTAGGCTTAAAGTTCTTGCTTTTATCCAATCAAAATTTAGTGCTTACGGCTTCGCCCATGATATACAGATGTTTTCAAGTAAAACAAAGAATGTCATATATAAAAATTCATAAAAAGCCTCTGGAAGTATTAGAAGAAAAGAATAAATGAGGTCCGATCAGCAGCAGACCTCGGAGTCATGTTGTGCACTGACCCTTCCTCCACAATTTCGGTAACGTCGTCCCGCTTCGAGTCCGGACCATTTGAATAGGTATGAAGTATTTTGATCTCAGAGTGTGATATGCGTTGGTACCTAATTTGTATTTCTTGTTTGTAAACCGATAAAGTGAGACATCTACGAAGCCGCATTATCTCACCTTTGGTGTGAATCACAATGAAATGAAATAAATGTGTCATCAGCTGCTATGCTCTGACCCGGCTTTTATTTCATTCGGAATATCAGATAGCTCTTGGTCACAAGGCATGTATAAGTAACCCAAATATCAAAGATGGATAGGGCGTTCGGAACCTAGATCCGTGCAGTGACCATACGACAATAAGCTGAGTTCAGCATGGCTGATAGGTTAAAAGGCACCATATAGGAACCACCGGTAACGAAGCAAAAATATGTATATGAGTTTTTATACTGCACACGAAAATCAGCTCTCGATCCACCTTAATTTGCGGATGCTTTTGACGATCAGATAAATGGCAAAAATACAGGCATCATTTTTCCTTATCGATCTCAAATTTTGCTCACATGGTGGATCCGCGTCAATTCCTCCTTCCTCCCTCCACTTAAGGACAAGTGCCCCCAACAGATGGGAGACGAAGTTCAAGTCATCTTCCGTGCGATGTCAAATCGCGGGTGGAAATACGTGCTTGTGAAAACCAAACGATCCAACGCCTCTCACTTCTGGTCGGGACAATTAAATTTGCCTTTGTATACCCCAACATAAGTGGACAAAATGACGCATCGTGGGAAAAGACTAATCAAAATTTTCGCTAATAAAACAAAATAATTTTAAATAATTGACTGAATGAACAACTGTCTGATGATCTCGTAACCTTTTGAAAAAGAACATTTCATAAATGTTTTAAAGGGAATCTTGCTTACCTCATCAGTGTACTTTTGTACTTAAAAGTGATTTAACTTCTACTAAATCGAAGACGACTTTTATCTGGGGATGCATCTCTGATATTAGCCAAATTTAAGGTCATACATTCATAAAACCAAAAGCTAAGTGAGTATTCCAGATTGTTTTTGGCGAATGTGCAGCACTTGGAAACTTGGGAACTCTCCCTAAAACGGATGAAACAAGATCGATTAAACAGCCATAGTTTTCACAAAAACATGGTGACATATGTGTCAAGGTCGACTGTTTGTCCTTGCACTTTTATCATCGGACACCGTGAAATTGGATAGCCCATCTTTCAGGGAAAAGACAGCACGCGTCAGAGAGTTTAGCCCCACAGGATATTAACCAACCAGATTTTACTGACTGTTCAATGCCTGTCTGCCGAATTGATGAAAGCCGTACAAGCATACTAAATACAAAACGACAACAATCAGGAGGACTGAATGTCATGCCTGAGTGGCAAAAACTTCAAGTTTGCTCAGACACAGTGAACAAGCTTCTCCAGCGAATCATGTCAGCGATCATAGAGATAACTATTTTTGAACCGACCAGAACACCTCAGTATTATGGATCGTAGATAAGTTATAATAAACAATTCTTGCAATCTGGAACAGTCCTTCATCCACATTGTCGTAGATCCTGTCCTTTTTTGTATGTCTGTCCCAACTTCCCCAACCAAATGCATACTGGTAAAAAGGCATATTTCGAAGTTTCTGTCATCATAAGCTATTGGCTGCAAAATACGGTAAACATGACATGAGTCGATTGGGAAGACGTGGGTTGCGCTCATACGATACGTCAGACTTTCTCGAGTTTGGGCGAGTACAGGGATGAAAATCGTCCACCGACATACTTTTAATTGGTTTTCAAATCTCGCCGTCATACGTAGCTTAGCAACGTAGCTACACCTATAGCAATCAACCAATCAGCATCGCGTGATATAAGTACCCTGCTATGTTTGAACATGCGATTCGAACTGAGTCCCAGAAATCTGGTGCATTCACTTGACAGTTTCCTTCATTTCATAAATAAGACATGGTGAAAATGGAGTAGAATATACACAGCAATTGATAAACCGATGGGAATACCTATCCTTTGTTCCATTCGAAAAGAACAGGGTTGAAAACATGCCCAAATATACTTCGATGTATTCCGAGGAATTTCCATACCCCCAGAAATTCCTCGACGATAATCCTCACGACTACGCAACATTGAATCAGAAACACGACGCATCATGTACAATGGTACGCCCGGCTGTGAAAACAGCCTATTTCTACCAGGATGGAGATATTGACGCACGTGGAATTCGCATCGCCATCCATCCCAATCGGTATCGCAGTCTCGAAGCTCTGCTTGGTGAACTTACTGAAAAAATGCCCAAACTTGGTTGTGGGGCCAGAGCTATATTTACACCAAAAGGAAGAAATAAAGTTCAATCATTAGCAGATCTCGAAAATAACGGACATTACATTTGCTCTGAACGGACCGCTCGACCGAGGGGAATATCATCAGATCGAATAACTCCAGTTTGGCGAAATGGAATGAGAGACCCATCTTTTCGCGCGGAGGACTTTGAAAGGAGGTACCCACCCCCCTCGAAAGTGACAGTTCGTGATTTGTCTTCTGAACTTACACATGGTCGGTCAACTCTGTCTCGCTCAAATTCCAATACGTCCTCCGGATCACCTCAACTCACTCAACTACCTCCACTACCTCCTCTAGGGAAACCAGCACAAACTGTAATGAACTCATCATATACGACATCATGGGGTACAAATAAGCTACACCAAGCAAAACGTATCTATGTTCGGCTTCGTGGCGATCAGAAGAGTCAGAAAATATGTTCGGCTGGCGATCAGAAGAGTCAGAAAACAGTGGTTATTCGGAGACGATATGTAAAGAACATCGAACAGGTATTGCAAGAATTGAGTGAGCTATTTCAGGTACCAATTAGAAAGTTGTATACGGTCGCAGGTCATCAAGTAAGTGATGATATTTCCGAATTCTGTGCTTTGATAACTTCCATTGTTTTTTGTTGCCAACTTGCAAAATAATCATAATAAAATTAAAAGGTGGAATTTAGAACGTTTGTGCCAAGTTTTCAGTATGACTGAATGGACAAAAGCAAAGTGCATCATGATTAAATAATCTGATCACGAAAACGTTTAGCGAAAAACCAATTCATTGACTTTTCGTAAATAAACAAATATGCACCGTCTACGCGCTCAATATCGTTAACAAGCGAGCGAAATTTTTTTAAAATAAGCGGACAGATTTGATGAAGTAGATATCACATCAGATATAATATCGCTTTAATGCGTAAGCATCGATTCCGGAGAACTAATCAAGAACTTCTTTGTACAGAAAGGACAGAGATTGGGATAGCGTTGAATACATACGCAGCTCGTCCCGGTGATCCAAAAACGTTGCACAAGGCTATTTAGCGCATCTTGGTCCCGAAACACGTAATGCTACTGTATTTGGAAAAGCTACTCTTCTAAAGCACGCTAGACCACCTTTGCTTCGTACGTAAACGATGGCGTGAGAATCAGGATTACAAAACCTAAAGATGGATTCCTTTAGTTCACAAGTTTATAAGCTCCCGAATCTCTCGCACTTCTATCGGTATAAAACCGAAGCCACTGCCTTGCGAAAAATAGCTAAGTTGAGTGTTTCGCTCTGGCATAGTACACTAAGTCTCCTAATGACCCAAAAGTTAAGGGCGTCATAAACTCTTTCTACTTGCAATTCAAATTGAATCCTGGCCCCAGCTCCAGGCATTAGTTACAGGTATCGGTCTATGTATCGGTTCAGTTGCACAAAATGTTCATTCTCAGCTTTGACGTGTCAGAAACAATATCACGCTTTGTCTATATCCTATTTTTGCACGTCCGCACAAATTATGTACCCATGTGTCAGTACTAGCCGTATATAGTGTGTGGATAACAGTAACAGGAGTAAATCTCTCCACAACCAGCAATGCGCGTCATGAATGAGTCCGAATCCGTAATTATTTGATTGGGATCGGGATTCCCTACACTGTGAATTACGGTTTGCTGGTCTTCGGTATGGTCAAACCCTGATCAGCCACGATAGGGCGATAATCGCCCTTGATGGCGCACGCGAATGACACCTGGACTGGTTTTCAAAAGTTTACCCGATGAGAACGCCGCAATCTCCGTCATGCTGTCGCTTCTGCCTTGAATTGTTACCCTGGCGTATCGAGAAAAGATGGTCTCTTAGGCAAGGTGTACTTTTCTGAGGCAGGTGTCGCCAGAAAGGCCAACTGTACTACAAAAACATATCAGGCTCAGCATGCTGTCTGATCTCAGTAGATGCAAACTCTGCATAACTTTTCATTACAATTTGTTTCTTAGTTTCTCAGCGTAAACTGAAGTAGTCACCAAATATATAGTCTGAATAGAAAATTTTTCCTCCCTATTCAGACCCTCAGCTCTCTAAGATTGCAACCAAATAATTTTGTATTGAAAAGCCACCACTTACCCTAAGCCGCCACAAGTTTAGAACACTTCCTTGTGTATGCACCAGTTAACCTCAGGTCTTAACAAGCCGTTGTAAATTTTTTATGGAGCTGGATCAATTAGTGATCTCTTTCCTTGGTGTTTATAACAAGGGTGAATGATGTTTTTAATAAGGACGAACGGTCTCACCCTTCCCACCTAACCCAAATCAGACTGAAGTACTTTCCGGAATCAGGAACGGGTTGACAAGTTGGAAATTTTACGCAACATTAACCTGGGCTTACTTTTCGGTGGGTAACCAGACAATATTTTCACGTGACTGCCAGGCTAGCATAGTTACTTAACACAGACTAGTAGAAGGCAGGATTCCTAACACGTGACGACGGCTCCAGGTTGAGTGAAGACTGGTTGGCAAATATGAAAGAGAGAAGTGCACACTCGTCCCATTTAGTGGGACAGTGATGGGAGGATTTTGATGACCTTCACGTTTTATGTCTGAGAACATACTCCGTACTGGTACAACCTTTTCCCCAGGAAAAGGCGAAGAATCCCCTTAGAAGACATTTTATTAGGCTGCTACCAATAAAATAGGGTTATGCATGAAATAGCCCGGTGTTCTAAAACTGATAAATTGCAAGCTGTGGGTGTTTCAATACAGTAATCAATCGTCAGTCCTAGTTAAATGAAAATAATTATTTCATGCCCCCGGAACATCGAGGATATCCCGACTAATCCATTGATGGAATGGTTAACTGAAGCGCTTTTAATATATTGAATGAATGACATTGATAGCTAAGAATAATAATAACAATTGTGATACTAGCAAATGGTTTTAACGGATGGAGCAACTCGGGGTAAAATTGGTTCCTCTAGAAAGTGAATACCGGTGAGTCACGCGCTAACAAACTGCAAAAGCATTCCCCCTCAAATCCTATAAAAGTAAGTGGTGCCCGAATAGCCCCTCAGGAATTCGCAAATCCTTGGTTTAAAAACAGACCCATATGAGAGACGGTATGAATTTATACCATCGAGTTGACAGACGCGAACTCAATAGCTCTTGCTCACCTGCTTTCACGTATTTGTCCGCACTTGGATCTTTGTCCAGGGAATACATAGCAAATGTAAGTGCATCAAGTCGTGACAGCCAGTTCAAGTAAGGTTAGAGAACTGTATTTTGTGACCTTCCTTGCTGATAAATAGTCTGCCATCGAACAACAAGATCATAAATAATTTAGGAAAGCCTTCAAAAATCTAAGGGCGACACAAAGTTTAGGCCCTACCAGTCGATGTCTTTTTAACCAAATGCTAGTTCGACTTGGTTATCGAAATTGTAATCGTTTACTATAATTGTTTTTTTGCTGCTAGCTGTTCTTCCAAAAGATCATCCACCGCGTTTGGTATCCCGAAGATCTACATCACAATAAAGTTAACGCTGTTTGCTTGGTGGGGAAAGTGCGGATAACCGAGAGTGCTTGATTTTGTTTGTAGATCCACCCCTAAAGAATACAGTAATAAATTTTCACCTAGTCAAGTGAAAGAGGGATAAGTCATCATGGAATTTAAACAAAGAAACTTATTCTCCATTGTCTGGAATAGATGAAGCAAAAGTGCTCGTTAGAACTTGTTTGAAATATCCGTTCAAGTTTTGATTAGGAGTGCAGAAATTTCGGCAACCTGGTAATGATGTTCACATTGCCCGCTTTGTCCGGCAACATTGCATGCGCAAGTTCACAAGACCTAGGAAAAAATGGAGGATAGGCCCTGTGTTTGTCAGCTGGGGATGGATTTGTGTGTAGTCGGAACTTTTCATGCTGGAGGATTGTGGCCCACTGATAGTTTTATACGTGAAGTTACAAAGCACCATCAAGTTATGTATCGTAGTGTATCGTGATACAGAAAAAATAAGGTAAGCATTACAGGTGGTACTTCGGCAAACAGCAACACAGGTTAAAACGTCTGGTGATCCTTGCCTTTCATTCACTGATATTCTGCCTGGAGTATTAGTTATCCCATGCATCCAGCATCAGTGGTTTCCGGAGCAAACTTTCTAGTGTGAAAACAATACATTCTGATAAGTATCAGGTAAGGACATTTATATATTGCAATGCTCGAGGCTTGCTTCACAATTAATTCACCGCTGGTCGTCTTCATATCAAATATTCAGGACTATCTTGAAGCTTATTTTACGCGATCATCTGACTGTAATTTTCTGTCTCTCTTTAGTCATTTTAGTAAAGGCATGAAATGTAACGCAGACAGCAACCCACATTCGATTCATCAATTCAGTTCCCCAATTAGCCACTTTTGTTAGCTTCCCACATAAATTCCCAGAGCGTTCAGAATAATCATAAACAGTGAGAGCCACTTGCTGGATCTCAAAACTTGAGTAACATGAGCCCGCTTCTACACATACTTTCGGAGTCTGCAACTCATATTCGGGTTGTCTATTAATTACAGCGTTGCACAAAACCGAAGTGGTTAGGGCCGGGATCGCCATGTTACGCTTTTCTTACTGTTGTGAACCACAGACCAAAGTTTCTCAGTTAGGTTATTAAGATTCTCGATTAAGGTGGGCCAACCGCGCCATAATCACGTATAGTACTAAACTATTGTCTAACTCGGGACTCGTAAGGTGCATTTTGCAAATCAGTAGCAGGCCTTCCTGATGCATCTTGTGTGCCTCGTGAATTCCCAAAAGTAGCCTAAGTTTATCTCACTGAAAACGGATAGTGAAAAAGCTTGCAACAGTCACTTTAAACCGAAAGGTTTCGTACGCAACTTTGATGCTTCTGTATCTGGATCGCAATGCATCTGAGTTTGGGCCATAGATACCATGTGAGCCGGGAAAACGTCTAGAAAATATAACCCTGTCCGGTTCACATTACTGGTGACCATTGTGGAGGAACCAGATGAAGAAATTCACAGAAGTTTACAGTGCTTGGTATCATCATATTCTATTATAATCAACCCGAAAATGTCTTATTTTTGAAACAGAGAGAGGTAGTTATAGTCGAGGACGTTCGTCGATAAACTGAAATGATTTACACACTAGTGATACCATAAGCTCTTCTGGAGGGCGACAAGAAAGCGCGCCCACGAAGTGAGACATAGGTAGAGTTTTTAAGCTTTTATCGGCAACTGTCAAAACCCAACTGATGTTGCTGCGAGCTCATCAATTTTAAAGGATATTTTACTTTTCTCGAACAGATTGAAACCATTGACGATCTCATTAAAGGACCTAACGAAATAATCGCTACTGGTAACGAGCGGTACTCACCCAAGTTTGTCCTCAATGATAACGTGATCACTCCTATTTCTCGTTCACGATCGGAGCAGCGTCTTCGGAGCCATGGGACACCTGGAAAAGTGTATCACTTCGATAAAAGCCGAAATCGCAGTCTTGGACGGCTCATTTCAACAGCAGGTAATTTTCAAGGCTTTACCATGCTTACCGAAGAAATGGTGGTTCTTCAGCAAGACAAAGCTTTGGTGATCAGACGAGATTCTCCGGATAAATTCATCTTGCCTTTTAGGTCAATGAATGTTTCTTTATGCACTAACGGTTATTGCTGAAGGGCATCACGACATACTATGATTCATTTTCTAGATTACATGCGGGAGCAACTTAATGGAGTGTCAGTTTTGAGCTCTTTCGGTTTTCTAATCATCACATGCTAGATGTGGGAAGTTCTTATCTACGATATATCATTTGGTCGAGTCACTATGCTTCTAATCCGAGCTCATCATGTACATCCCACACTAATAATCTGTTTTAGAAAATGCAATCAGTTCTATTCTTCACCAAGAGCCTTGGTACTTTGAGTCTAAATTACGGCCATGATTGATTTCCACAACCAGTTTAATAAAGACAAATCCATCATCAGCAAATGCAGCGCAAAAGTTGTAGCTTACTGCCTCAGGAGACTGCTATTTACCTCACGCAGTTTCAGCGTAACTCAACATTTCAGTGGATTAAACTCTATGAAAGTTATATTACAGAAGTTGTTCACTAGTGTAGGGACGGTGATCGAATTAAACAAGTAAAAAATTTGAGCAACCACAAGTTGCCAACCTTCAGCTGAGGGTCCTTATCGGGGAGATAAATTTCTTTGAAGAGACCACTTACGACTGAATTCACACAATTTTCTCCTTGGATGAAGCCTACTCATTGTTTGTTTTTTCTGTATAAATAAATTTCGGACAATATTTCTCCTCGATTTTTACCAAGGAATGCTGAAGTCCTCAGAGTTCTTAAACAGAGGACTGCACACATGAAGTCTGTAGTGGTTAAGGGAGTAGTCTTAATGAAATTTTGCGGGAAACGTATATAAAAAGACAAGATCTTCATTGGAAAGAATGATGGACCTTTACTTCTGAGCCGGGTTTTCTACGTTGTGCATTACATTCCTACGGACATCTCTGCAGATCAGTATGCCGTTCTTCATAGAGATCATTGAAGGTGTATCTTGGTGATACCGACATTATATCCTGTACTAGATCGTCTGAAGGCGGTCTAGAGATTTTGTGGTAAAGTAAAAACGTCGAGAATGGTCTGTCTTCGTTAACTAAGCTTATAATGTACCCAGCCACTAATCAGAATAGTGTTAGCTAATTTTGTCATCTCAGCTTTTTTCTGTCACTATCTGTTCATAGCTGTGCCAAAACTAATAAAGTTAGTATAGAAATGTCTGAAATGCAACGGAACCACATCCGGTTTTCTAGATAACAGCCGATTTTTAACCTCGATTTGTCCTTCTCCTCTAAAGATTACTGAATTTTATCTGGATGACGACCGCTAGTTACGTCTGACTGAACAACCAACCTCAAACCAGAAAGGTTTGAGGTCCATTAGGAGCTCCTCTGCGCTCCGTAGAATATCGGCACACACTGCATTGTCGCACAGAGAATGTTGGTTCCGAATTTCAGGATTACCATTACAGAAAGATTAGAGGGATTGCCCCCGGAAGCTCATTTGTTCCTTGGCTAGCAAATAAATCCGTGGCCAATGGGAAACTATGAGTCGGTGATCTAACTGAATAGATTGACCTTTATGCAACTTAGGTGTGTGATATCTTACTACAAATCAATACAAAGACCAGTAGAGTTCCCCCAGAACAGCGCTACTTCGAGCAACTTTTGAAAGTTGAGCAAGAAGAAAGTGCTTCAGTTAAGGTTGACTAACCGAGACACTGGAAAACTGCCTAAGCCGTTTCACGGGAACTACTCTCGATGCGTTTTGAGGTACTGGTCAAAAAGGGTTATTTAGAATTTCATGTATGCAAAGCAAAAGGACAACTTCAGCAGGGCAGGGTTTTCGCAGTAGGAAAACATTTTCTCGCACGCATAACCAAAAACAATCCATAAAATAATCATATCATGATTTGACCTCAAAATTGGTGGGTTTGTTTTCTCTTCAAAGTGGATGATTCTCGGGATTTTAAGTCGAGAGTATACTACATCAGCATAGAGCTGGAACAGGGTTGGACGCATGCATCACGCTACCAAATATGTATTTATCTACACCTGGAATGAAACTCTGACAACATAGCTAAAGTAGCGGGACCGAAGTACCGGAGATACAAACTTTTCTGACCTTTCATGTGTAGTTTTCGGGCTCTTTATCAGGGCGTAACTATAAAACCTGGACCGGCGCGATAAATGCTCACCTAGATGCCGCAGCTTACGGGTTAGCCCGCTCCTCCCTGTTCAGCTATATGCAGACGGACGATTGCGCAGTCAGTAGTGTCTCCTTATATGGCACGTTATCGACTCCAAACCGTGCATTACTTCACTTTAAATTAGTTACAGGATATCAAATAGCATGACCAATGAGTGATATCCTGTTCGATTCTTGAAGACTTACTTGCTCACAATATCCAATCGCCAATAAGCTTAGTGATTCCTTGACCCTATGAGGAGCAAAGCGAAACATATCTCCTGTATTGTGAAGTGGTGCGTTTATAAATGCTGTCTCAAGATTCGTTTAGAGCAGTTCCTACTCGTTGTGCAACACTGGATTCGATCCCCCCTCCCCTCAGAAGCAAATGAATGAACTGTCAAAAGGAATGAACTCCTAATGCAGTTTGGAGGTTTGGTGATGGTATTTTCACAAAATTTCCACTAAAATATGAATTAATTTCCTTGGGTGACTATCTGGTCCCTTAGTGACTGCATATGGGCTGGTCATGTGACATATTCCGAATCCTTCCACCACTCTGGAGCTCCCACTGTTGTTGTATTTCCTGTGGAAATTCCGTCATTGTCACCTACAATCAAAGGCTAACTCAACCAGACAGCAAGCGCGAATAGTTATGTCAGATCCAAACAGACGCCCCATTCCACTTCATCGGATGACCGTAGGTTGATTGAGTCTGAAACAGAGAATAGATTAGAATCTTTGTCCACATTTCATTTCCAGCGATGCGTGAAGCAATGTAACTTATACGTCAGACCCCAATAAGTACAAGCTGCTCAGCCAATTGTTTAGTCCTTCTCCTGACTGTTATCAACCCTGAATGGGTGCGTTCGTCCTGGGCATTATTAGGTTTTTAACAGTACTGTGTAATTTTACCCAGGTATCTCGTTAAGATTCGCCTACTTCGGTCAATAAAGTTTGTAAACAAATGAAACATCATCTGTCCACCAAGTTAAGGACTGTAACCGGCTTTGGTAATTATTTTTACTACTTTGATTTGTAATGAGCCTCAGACTCATTGATCATCGACTGAGAAAGATCAGTTTTGTTATCCACCCACTAAAAAGGTGACCTGTTGAACTCTAAGTTAATTCTAACCGTCACCTAAATTTGCCTTGTCCAGGTTCTTGGAAGATCCTCATCACCTCAGGGGTCGTTGATGCAGATACTGGTGACACATACCTAGCGGCATGCACTTCAAACATACTGCTGACGGTATGTGACAGATATCATGGCTCCCAACCGATTGTTCTGCGTTCGGCCTACGTGAAGACCCTACCTGCCGAAGTACATCATGAGAAAGGAAACTGTCCAAACGGTACACCGCCGGCTATCCCAGAAAACGCTCCTTTCAATCCAGGGCGAACGGATCGATTTGACGTAAGCAGCACAACACCATGTGGTTGTTCAATTGTGTCCTGAATAATGCAGTTATTCTGCATGTGTAGTCAATGTCTACTCTCTATTACAGGAGGATCAGTTAATATTAGCCTTGATGTAAAGTCCCATTTTTGTGACTTTCTATTTTTTTCGTTGCCGAGTACTGCCAAAATAATAGTCTTAATTACTCATAACAGTGAAATGAAGTATCAGTGCATCTGAATCCTACCTGTGCCAAAGTATACTAATATATTCGTCCCAGTTTGCATGCTTGGAATTGGTTCTAACAATTATTCCTTCCACTTAAAAACACCTAAGAATGTAATCCATACGTATGGAGGCGATTAGAAGTGAAGAACGCACAAAGTGTTGAGGAATCCGATAGGGGGTCACGCGTAGGTTTGATGATCTCGAAGATCCAAAGGAAGAATTGGGTTCAAAGTCAACGGTACTGCTTACACAATGGTAGGCAAAATTTTGCACCAGACCTCAAATGTCTGCGTTCGTGGCGTCCACAAGGGCACAAGTTTTTCAATGACTGGCACATGCAGTGTCAAGTTCTGCACACCAAACAACAGCGAGCGGAATGTTGCTTCTGTTGTGTGGGTGGCGGCCTTCCGTACCGAGGGCAGCCTCGGGATTCTGATTGGCGATGCGATCACTCGGACATCAAGACAGAGCAGAATACGGCAGGCTCAACAAACGGGACACAAATATGTATGGGTACGTAGGTGAGTTGCTGATATACCGGTATCAAACGGGGCGAAATTTTCGGCAAGGTGAATGCCGAATACAGATGAGCAAAACAAGTGGTCAAAAGTACATGAACTAAGTAAGCAGCTGAATGAGGGAAATATCATCAGACCAAGCTAGATTCAAATCAGAGTTTACAGAATTTTTTCGTTGAATTTTTTACCAAGCTCCACTAAGACTACCCTCCGATAGGTCAGACTAGGCCAGTGGACTCGGAAATAGCATAAAAAAATGCACGTATGCACCAGCAGCCATAACTTTGTTAACAAGTACTTCTGATATATATATATATAAGCTATATATATATAAGATATAAGCTTGTCATGTATAAACCAATAAATATAGGAACTCATACAAACAGATGACTCTAAATAAATAAATAAATAAATAAATAAATAAATAAACCACCGAATGCATGGTTATCCAAAAGAAGAGGAATATAGATAAATCTATATAAATAACCAGGAGGAAGATATTGGTGAGATGTAGCCAAATAAATATGACGAAACAACCACCATCACTGTTCATGCCATCATATTTGCATCATATTTTTCACAAACACAATTCCCCAACTCCTTGCGTGTCAGAGACACACAACTACAGGTTCCTCGTATTCTAGTGAGTTACAAGCCCGTTAAAATAAGCTTGCGGGTTTCAGAAAAGGTCAGCAGGCTATATGAAATTCCGGAGCACTGAGAGAACTCAAAATTCAGAGTAATCACTGTACAGGAAACATGTTGCGCCCCTGTTGGACGCTTGTGCTTTCATGTTTCCACCAATGATGATGATATTTACACTGGTGAGGATGATGTTGTCAACAGGTTATAATTCTGAGCTGAAATTTTTTATGTATGCACTGTCAGGAAGCCAGTCTATTGAGAAGCATAAAGCGGCCATTTAGTTCCCGAGGAAGAAGCAGTTACTCGTGTTGTTGTAAGGCCTCGCCACCATAGCGCATGTAGGATTCTGTAGATAGTAAGCTCTCTTTTGTCCCACCGATTTAAATCCACTTTGGTAAATCTGTAAAAATATTTTAATCGGGGCAAATGTCTTTTATTTTCTCCTGCAGCTGAGTTCACGAAAGTATGATACCTTTGATCGAGTTTCAGCTTAAACAGTGAAAGTAACACAGTTTTGGTCGGATTTTAGAACCATACTGTAACCACAATAAATCACTGGCTTTAATTTGCATCAAAGCTAGAATAATTCATTTAGAATTAGCCTATCATATTCCTTTAACACGTTTTTTAACGGTTCGACCAGCATTTAGAAGTGTACATTGTAGTCCATATCAAAGTCACGGTGCTCTGGAATCTCAGCGTCTATAAGTTATACCCTGATATAGAAATAACCCACAAATTGCTAGCTTTTCACGCTTTGAAAAACATTGTACAGCGGAACCAGAAAGTATATAGGAGATGTGGAACACAACACCATGATGACATCGTGAACAAGAAAATTCCCATCAAATGACTTGTCTGTACGAATGTCAGATTACTGTTTGACGAGACATTTCACCAATCCACGGTAAAAAAAAAACAGCTATCTCTTAGTTTTCTACTGATTTAGGCTGAGAGTTTACTCCTCTTTCGGTGTTTGTTTTCTCTTTGGCTAACAGAATCAAACATCAAACGGATGGGCTTTAGTAGGGTAACCTTCATTTTCCGCTTATTTCACCGATTCAACCAGAGACTTGGTCATATACAGTGTAATTACCAGCATATGGTGTTTCGGCAAAGTGTAGGGACGCCCCCTCCGTAATTTTCGTGCCTCATGCTAAGTCATATACCACGCCCAGATCGCCGTCAATTCAGATTTTCCTTTGACTCTTGCCCAATTCGAAGAAACAACAATTATCGCTGAGAAACTGAGTTAATCTCAACACGATAGATTGTTCGACATTGAGAAAACACCACACCCTTTAGACTCCACCCTAGGCAAGGGACGGAGCAAATCACTTTTTAGGACACGCTTTTTGATAGGCATCCCGCAGAAGTTCGGTTGCGGTGGGTGCGGTTTTTGGGATCTAAAGTACAGGAACAATAAAGAGGTACATCAGAAGTAACATGGAACCGCCCATGTACAGGAATGGTCAGTAGTCCTGCCAAAATAACGTTTACTGGAACCTAGCCTTAGTAAAGTTGCCAACCATAGTTTAGAATTACGAAGAAAATTGATGGAGCCTATAAGTCCCATGAATGAAAGGCAAATTTGTCGCTGCTAAAGCAAATCTAAGGAATAAGCCATCGCGGATTTAAATTTAAAGGTTACAACAGAAGAGGAGAAACATGTAGGTACCAACTCTATTCAAGAATTCATTGTATAGTTGTAGATGCAGTAAGAGCTCCAGCACACCCAAGAAAGTAGAATAGAACAAAATTATTGGTTTTTAGCATTTTGGGCCACTGTGATATGTTAAAATGCCTGTCACACAACTGGCTTAAGACCAGAGCCTGTCTGGTCACCATTCAAATGAGTCACATTGCTTATGCCAACCAAGGCTAATGAGTACCGCCAAGTGTTTGTTGCCTATTGCCGTTTACGATGTCTTGACGAGTTGATTGCAGCTCAGAAAGAAAATAGTCTCAGGAATCGCACAGGCATTCCGTGTAACAAATTTTATTTCAGTCAATCAACACCGGAGCAGTTGATGTGACCTACGTGATTGGTGCCAAAGGGGGGATCAGTCACTGGGATGCTCACCCACTCACGACTACTGACATAGCACAGCTACTAAACAGCAGAAGGTAGGACATGACTCTCCCTAACGATTTATGGGGGGGGGGCGCATAGCTGATAATTACCAACAAGGGTAAAGCAACTGTCCACTATTGGCCCCCCTTCCAGCGAAAATTCACCTCCTTTTCAGGGCGAAATTACTATCATGTTCTTCCCAGTGATTTACAGCGTGGAAGCTGAAAGTTAAAGTATTGAGCTGTTTTGTTCTGGATAGGTATTCGGAGTCTTGGGCCTTGCAATATGTTGGAATAGTGGTAGATCATGTGAGTGTGATTGCTGTTGACTAACAACCAAGCAGCTTAAGCTTATTTTTACCGCTAAAGAAAGCTAGAATTACACTACGTTTTGACTTTGTGGAACTCTAAATTATGAGAGAACATTATGATTCTATTACTCTTGGGTGTTTAACGCTACAAATCAACACTCATCCGAGCGAAACTCAGGGAGAAGTTAAAATCCCCAACGTCAGCGTTTTAGCCACAAAGATTTCTATAGTAAATTGTCAGATTACTCAAACTTTGACAATCAGATTTCCAAAAAACGCAACTACTTCGTTGTCAGTTTCCTCATTTCACTTTTGCATCCGCTTATATCCTCATCGCCTTGTTGTTCAACAAGAACCGAGATGTTTGCTCTACTTTCGCCACACTCCTGAATGATGTTTCAGACTTTGCTTCAGCTTCTAGCCCCAACCCACTGCAACCGAATGGAATTATGAGCCTAGTTTGTTGTTGAAGGTAACTTGGCGGTAGTTTACATAAAGCTAACTCTGGACTTTTGCCAAGAACTTTGTTCCCGTCATGTATAAACCTACACAGCAAGAACCCTTTCTCGAATTTATTATGCAGTAAAGGTGCGCTAGACATGACTTCAATCAAGAGTAAAGCAGCTTGGATTCAGAATCTCACCAGTTTAATCAAACCATATGTTGATACAAACTAAACGAAATACGCATCCACTCTTTAGGCTATACTCACATGTGTGAGGGACATTTACAAAATCCGTCTCAGTCATGATGGCACGGGAAACTACCCAGAATGGTTTCCAAAAGAAGTGCGGATGCAACCTTTGGGAGCGGATCATGTGCTGCCGACGCCTACACCTTCAGTCGATGAGAAGAGACACAGTCGGTTGGTCAAACCACCCGTCGATTCACTCCGTGGAGTGCAACCGGAGCTCATTTTTCCTTGCAACAAATGGTTGTCACGAGTCAAAGGAAAAGGAAGCTTGACGGTGGAAGTTGCCGCGCCCGGAACACAGCTCTTGAATGGTCGGAGTACGGTAGGATCGAATGCAAGGATACTAAGTATGGATCCCTTAAGTCTCGCAGCCTTTGGGGATAGAGCACCAGGTAACATTTTGGAGCACAGTTAAATTATGCACTGGCAGTTTTGAAATAGTTTTGAATAGTCGTATTTCGAAAAGAATTTGTTACTCAATTTGATGGAATTATCTATGGGCAACGTTATCCAATAACAAACCTAGTACTTGTGCTAATAAATCGCGTCAACAATGTAACAGCTCATCGTCATATAGTCGGGAACTGCAGTGCACCAGTAGCGAAAACCGATGCTTAACTTCTATAAAACTATCAGGGAGGAAGACAAAAGGGAGGAGGACATGCCCCACAATGCCCCGTACTTTTAGGGGAAATGGTCGAAACCAAGTTAGGTATACCTTCCGAAACCATCGAAATAAACACATCTGCTTATCGTGGCAGCAAGCCCACCGCTAGGGTCGTGGCGGCTAAATATCAATAAATATTTGGATTTATTTTTGACCTCAGTATTCTTTGCTTGAGTTTTTGAGATGGCATTTGGACGCAACAAGAGTATGTCGATATTGATCCACTGAGTAGTGGCAATTTTCCAGCAGTTTCAGTCCATCCGCACATAAACTGTCTTTCCAGATGACGACGAGACGTTTTTAAGCCAATTGCCAAGTGGCGAGTAGCTCAGCAACCCATTACCTCACTGCCAACAGACCATGTGATGAACATTAAACAAAATACGTTTTGGGCGCTGCTCGGCAAAGAACTTTCAGATGTGATCATTTCACCTGAGAAGACCCATGATAGCTGCTGACCTAATTATGGGACAACATGAGGCTTCATAGCATATAAACCTAGAAATCTCAAGTCCTATTTGGTGCCAGATTAGTGTAGTCCTCTTCTTTCAAGCTGCAGTTTCAAAATGATGTGCCTTACATGGATTCTTGTTTGGAATAGGTTAGGGAAATAAGCAACTTTCACGCATAAATAAACGGGTTAGTTTTTTGGAAGAACATCAATTATAGGGTTCCTGAAATCTCTCCGACGGTTCACGATTGGTTTGCCTCATATGCGTTCATGGTGTAAACGATCAGGGCTCAGTCACGTCTAAGCAAATGAGTAAAATCGATTGACGCGTTATTCACTGGCACCACTAACTGCTGCGACCAAAATCTTTGGTGACCCACTTTTAGGGATGTCAAAGTTAACCTTGGGATAACAACACCAATCAAACTATAGTTGAAAAAAAACTAACCGAAGTTGACACCTCCATAATATAGACACAAAGCAGCGGCGACATCCTGACCGGTTATAAAGTGTTGTGCAGCCGCAGTCTGGCGAAGAAAATGTTGACCCCGATGAAACCATGAAACATCAAATTTCTGCTCAAGCTCAGTCTCCTGCTCCAATTTCAGCCAATGTTGTGGGTTTAGGTTTCCTAAGTCTTCTATTTAAAAATTTTAATAGCCCTTAAAGAAGCGGCGGGTAGGAGTTTTGAGGCGCAACTGCAAAAAGTGGGAACGGACCTGTACCATGCATACTGAAACACTGTCGGATTGTGGAAAGCAGTCGTACATTGTCACGGAAACCTGTCTTTATGCTCACTTACTTTCAACTGGTTAGGCTCCTCGTTCTCCAGCGTTGACTTGGCACCACGAGCTCCACAGTATTTTAATGTACTCAAGATTTAACTTCTGGCCATCACTTTCAATAACCGGCAAGGTTTTTCTACTCAACCTATCTTTATTGTTCTCCACTGTCTAATGAACCGTTACTTTCAACTGACGCTCACAAGTAGGACTGAGAGCAGAGTAACACTGAAAAATGCCTGTAAGCGTGAAACGTACTCTCAGCCTTCACATATATCAAGGTTGAAATTTCTCACTGATCAGAATTTTACATTCGAGTTATGATCACAAAACCGCGATTGTTTCGTCTAGCGCACCATATTTGAATGTTTATTGAAATGGTGATTGTAACACTACGAAATCCGGAATGTAAACCCCAGTGGTCGCTGAAAGTGAGGTTTCGCCAAAAAGAAGCTTTTTCCGAAAACTGAAAGCATTTTACCAGTTATACATGCCTCATCTTCCGTCTATTATGTTGTCAGTTATCCGTTACGAAATTCACGTAACTACGGGTAATCTTTGGGACGCAGGAACGAAGGCCCAAATTAGTGTGCAGCTTCAAGGAGATCGTGGTGATAGTGGTCGCCGGGTTCTCTATACGCCTGGAGTGGACCCAAGTACGAACTTCATCAGGGGACAGGTGAGTTACCGGGGTTGACTGCATGCATTCGAACGATCAGACTCTGTATGTTGCAGTTGGCAGTATTTACGCTCCACGGTTCTGCTAATCAGTTATAGACAGGGTATAAAATAATCAGTTCGATATTACCGATGAGCCGTAGAATAAAATTGTATGGCCGTTGTCAACTAGATAACTTGACGTTTTCACTGGCACTAAAGACAAATATTTTCGCTGATAGGCAATTTTTCTCATCTACGTGGAGAGGCGATAGGGCGACAACCCTAGCGGAATTAGGCTATTTTTTCTGGGGCCATGTAGATATTTAACTTACATGTTCACAGACCTTTGCAAACTGCAAACCTTCATACTCCACAGTGATTTACCAGAGGCCAAGTTGTATAGTTATATGGTTCACTAAGAGTTCATTCATCTTTTAAGTACTTTCGGACTGAAAGACAACGCATTCGAATAATAAGTCATTATTGGCACCCAAAAGAACAGAATCCATATAGCCCATTATTTCGTGAGGCAACCCAAATAAAATAGAATCAGCGTTTCTTGCAACCTAAGCACTCCGCTTGTTATCCAGGTTAAACCACATCAAATTGCTGTTCTCGTCTTAGACAAGCGTATTCGGAATCGACGCCGTTTTTCTTGGTCGCCTTCGACGTATGACGGTGTGGATCGAAGCTGGAGAAAAGACAAGTACAACCTGGTACTTGGAACGGATCGTTGTGAGGGAGATGCTGCTACCTTTTTCTTCACCGCAGCGAAGGAGTTCCGATAGAAAAAACCAGCCAACTCACGAATTTCAGTCATCAAATCACAGTGTCCTCCTGGGTGTCAGTTGCTTTCCTTGTCATCAATGGCTGGGGCTGACCCCAAAACCAGGTACGCCTGAGATTCAACTGACCGCGACAGTAGGTTCCGGCGCTGTGACGGCTGATATGTTGGAGCGCAGTGTATCACTAAACCAGGAGGAAACCTGGGTGAGTAAATAAACACCATAACGCCGAAATATAGTTTTTATTCGGTTATGCATTTCAAACACTTCTATCTGTCGAAACTGTACCGATTTTCTCAACCTTGTTCTCTCGCTGAAAACAACAATTTAGGTATATCGTGCGCAGATTTAGATTGGCTTCTGAATATGTCTACTTATACGATATTCGCAGTCAATGCATGAGGTATAAAGCATAAAACCCATCAGTAGGATATATTCCACCTCGGTGATCTAGTTACCGATCGACTCACGAATGAGTTCTTCTCGCTACAAGATCGAAAAATGCAATAAAGTGCACTTCAATATGACATAGGCTTGAAAACACTAACGTGAAGGGAATTGTCCAAGTTACTTTGGCTTTTAGTTTATTTATCCGTCAACAGCAGCTTAAAGTTGATTTTTCGTATGATGATGCTTCACACACTCAAACCACAAGACTGGTAATCAATAGATGAATTGTAGACACCTTAGGTTTCCGTGGGGCACGTGTACATAAAGCGGCTAAGTGCTGCTTTTTCCACTATAGCCAAAGAAACCGCAATATTTCCTTCCGTTTTTGTGAGTTTGAATGTCTGGTTTCAATTATGGACTGAGAGTTATCATTGAAAAATTTCCTCTACATGTCATGATTCAAAAATTCAAGCAGGAGTCAGTCATATGCCCACTCTTTATTTTTCGACAGTGAAATAAGTTAGATTCCGTGGGAGGAACGTTTGTGACATGTTTCTTTTCTGACTTCCAATGTCTCATTTGGTGTACAGTGGCAACTTGAACAATGGAAATTCCGTCCAGGCAACGCTGTTGTCTTTTACAGTTACGCAACTGGTGCACGGATGCGGGTAGTTGAAGGTGGACGAATAGAGGCTCATCAGCTCGATGGAAAAGACACTGTTGACACAAGCGGTACCGGTAAGTCATCTCAACTTTGATGACTTCTTCCAGAAGCTTGCTAGTTGAGATAACTGCATGGCTTGGAAATTCCTTAAGCAACAAGTTGAATTGATGAGTTCAGACATTTTAGTTCATCGGCTAGACAGACATTTAATGAAGCCACATCATTTCGTTCTCCAATAAACCGGACTGTGCTTCATCTGTCTAGGCTTTCTTCGAGCGACACCAGTCATCCTTCTCCCATGTTGAGACCCTTTTTCCCTAATACCAGCCCTTCGCCAACATCCCACCATAACACCATGGGCATCTTCACATCGAATGATATTGTGCTCCATTTTGCCGAAGTTATACCCTCAATACGACACATCCAGTGTATCTTTGGCTAACTGAAGTTTTACTCTTTTTGTAATGGTAGCCAAGAAACACTCAAGGCACTGTCCAACGTGTATTTTTGTAGTGACAGGGACTTAGGGACACACGGGCAGACAGTGATGCGCATTATTGATTTTCACATAACTGTTCCTCTCACGCAACCCTGCAGACACAGCATCATTGAGAGTTACAAAGCCCTGGTAATTACATTTCACTGACAAGATATTCCTAGTCTCTGAGCGCAAGGTTATTTGAGAATGTCAGCAACCCCAGGGTGGTGTTCATACAGTATTCCTAAGATAGTACGTACATATTAACGTAAAATATTCTAGGATTGTCAATCAAGCTGCGCTTAAAATTTGGATTACTTCATCATATATATTATAATAGTCCAAAATTTACGATTTTGTTCGAGTAAAGAAGGTTGGGGTTTTAATTTACATTGGAAATGTTCGGCCACTTATGCAACGGTCTCTCTTTATATTACTAGGTGCGTAGCTAAATCATAGTACATAGTAACCTTGTAAACCTACGTTATTTATCATTTACTACTTAGACTCAGTAAAGATACTATCTGGCGTACGCAGTAACTCCGCAAAAAATCAAAACTTAGATTAATAGAAGAGAAAGGCTTCTAATTTGAAAGTAATCAACAGGTGGTGAACAGAGTTTGAAAGACTCATTCGTTCCATCACTTTACACCTGTGGATTTCGTTCGATACTTTTGTTTCGGTAGCACAGGGTAGGTCACAAGTTGGCGTATCTCACATCCCGTACACCTGCACGGTTGTTATCGAATGTTGTGGCCAAACTGTCTTTTGCGTGTTTCCATTAACCAGTTCCCGCTTCCCATGCCCTACCACCAAAAGCGCGTTCATTCCTTTCGAGAGTTTAGATAGAGTTAACCTTGTGTTTTTTCACTCGAACAACGTCAACAGAATTCCTCTGATGTTGCACTCAATCATACTCAATGATTAAGCAAAACTGTTCTGATCGACGTTTGCTTGGATTCAAACCGAAAATCCACGGACTTACCATTGTAATGAATTAAAACGCTCATCCCAACAAACCACCCGGACGCATAGTTTTGATAAACCTCATAAGGGCAACAGTTATCTTTGGTCGTGTCTAGCTAGAGCTTCATAGAAGAACTCTTCCAACCAGCATATGTGACCCAGCGGACTCTTTCGTGCATACAAGTCACCCTCAAGAAAGCCAGCCTCCGTCAATCTGATAACATGGAACGATAATGATGTCTATAAAGTCAAACTATGTTCGCAATATGACGACAGCCTTACTGGAATGTACCAGAAGCACTTATCTCGGGAACTCTCATGGAAATCTAAAACCCGTTATCATCTAATTAGTGAAATACACAGCTGCAAAAAATTTGGTTATGCGAGAGACGCACCCTGAATCCAGCTGAATTTATTGTTTATGGTGTTTCCGAGCAAATGAATGTGCTGCATTAGGCCGTCTCATGTTTCAGTTGGTACGGTATTCCAGATATCGCCATACACGTATAGAAGTAATACACTATTCATAAGATTGCTGAAAATTCTTCGATAGCCCACGACCGGTTTCACAATTTGGTTTCAGGTAAAACATAGGGTTGAAGAAAACTCGGGGACTGCGCCTACCTGATGAGCCCCAAGAAGGGCGAAAACGGTCATGAGCTGTCGAAGAATTTCATGAGCCTTATGAGTAGTGTTTTACGTCTTCTAATTGGTGCCTTTAACACTGTGCTCAGCTATGGATGGCAGTCAACTAGCTTTTAACCACAAATGCAAGACGGGTTCATTAGTTTTTAAAACTGGCGGCTTAATGCACTTGGTTTCCTAGTGACTGGTTTTTCGAGTGAGGACTTCTCTGACCAAAGGGCGTATGTTTACAATGGTAATCCATCTAGCAAACACCACGTGTTTGTAAGGCGATTCTAGCCCTAGACACTTGTCTGTTTTCCTACCTCTTCTGTTAGTTCACGCTGCAGCCACTAAGCACCTTGTGCGGCGGAGCAAACCGCTCGATTATTAAAGTCATTGTCGAAACAGCTATACGCGCTGATGATTTGCTGAAAACAAGAAGTGCACTTTTTCAGACCTCAGAATCTCAACATGGCGATCCTTTTCTTTCGTAAGAAGTTTCACTTTCTATGTTACTTTTCCCATTCGTGTTTCGTATGAGTAGGCAACCGAATGACTTTGTGATGTGGTGGCTTGGTTTCTACGATCTTCGCTCGTTGATTTAACACATGCACTTTGAGATACCTTGTTGGAGCATAAAAAGCTGTGTCACTAATGCGATGCACCTGACTGCGTAATAATTGCTATGGTAACCAGACAGACTCATAACCTAAAGTGCACGGAGCAGCAGCTGACGATTCTCGTGTAATATCCATTAATCGACTAATCATGGCTCCAGGGGTACGATGTAGAGAAGGTGGAGGTGGACGGTAGGGTTGTTGAGTTCGGCGTTCATTTTTTAACTCATAAACTCCTGCAAATTTTATCCAAATATCTAATCTACAGCGGAAAGCAGCTAAGCTACTAAGATGTGGTGCTAGGCGAAGAACCGACAAAAATGGGCTCGCAGGACAAATGGGCGCAAGTTTGTGTAGAAACCGGAACTGTTAGTAAGAGTGCTTGCTGTTTACCTGAGGTTTCGTCCGATTTGGTTGCCTGAATGATACATATGGATTCATTTTACTCTGACAGCTTTCTGACTAGAGCATTTCCAATTACGCCTTAGAGAATAATAAAACATTTCCAGGAGTCCAGTCATGTTCTCTGCGCAACAAATTACAATATCCGCTGGTCGATCGGTGCTAGGCACCACTAGACACGTGCGAAAAATTAACAAAATCACTCGTTTGTTAGCCACCGGCCCTTTGGTATCAATGCCAGAAAAGTTAAATACTCATATATGGCTGAAAAACTATGCCTTTAACTAATATACAACGGCACGCAATACTGAAAGCAAAAGGAACGACTTCGACAAAACGATACTACAAACAGCAGTTTCTGTCGGGATTAATTTAAGCCAAATTCACTTTCGAATGATTTTATTTTGCGAGTTTGGTGAATTTTGGTGTTCACGCAGGACTCTCGGTTGATGGGACCACGCCCTGCTAGTGAGAAGAAAGAGGACTCATTCCTTTAGACGGAGACTCCTGCAAAGTGTTCGACAAGTCACCACTAGTTCAGATTTTCATGTGGCTCACCAAATGCAAGTAGCGTCCTATTTTCGCCAACTTGACAGTCTACTTGAAATCCATGTTTTGTGTAAGTAGGTAAGTAAACCAGGGGATTGCGTACACTCCATGAAACTGGAAAAGCTTAAGATTTGCTGTAGTTCGTCGGTGTTTTCAGCGACCCTAAAAGTAGTGTGCTCCGCCTGGGAAACGTACTGCGATATCTCGAATATTCTGCAATCTGAAACTGTGGACGGCTCTTGTTCAGCACATTCAACGGAAGAATATAGTGCGAGATTCAGCCGCGATTCAGTCGAGACTCCTGTTGAGGTAACTAGAAAATAAGTGTATTTGACCAAAGGCTTGAGTGTCAGTGGTGTACGGAAACGCGCTATCTGTTTTGAGCAGTGACAAGTTGCTCGCAAGCTGTATGCATTTTTCTTGAGCGCTATTGTAAGTGTGCATAAACACTCGCTATAAATGTCATTCCTAAGGGTAGTAATGAATAGAAAACTCGAGTCCATAGAACCCATGTTATTGTCCAATAAAGCACTAAAGCTATATAGGAGACCGCGAAATGAAATGTTAGGTTTGGTACCTTTTCAAAGCAAAATCACATCACCTAAATCAAATAAGTTGTATCGCGAATCTTGAGGATCAGAAGCGTCTTATTATGGAATTGGACAACAGTAGAGCGCTATGGGTCTTACACCATGAACCATGCAATCCCATGTGGGAAATCATTCGCGCTGCTTACTGACGGAACACATTTGGTACAGATGCCAACTTTATAATAGAACTAGAGAAATTGGCTGAAATCTGCTTTTACATTTTCTACATAGATAACATGCAAAGGATTGCTGTGATAAGTAGCACAAAACAGCCCACAGCGTTATTACTATATTTTAGTCCCACCGGAGATACAATGCTCTGTCCTTATCCGTACTTGGCTTGGAAGTCCGAAAAAAATGAAGCAATAAAAGACATTTGTGAATGCGGCAAAATCCCCTGCAATGAGCCACAGATGCGTGACTGTCAAATCTTTGTGCCCTTTCTACTTGCGGTTTTCAAGGACGAATCCATATTTCCTTCAGGATTCTAAACCTGTCCGCACCACTTTGATGGTGAACGCGGTCCTCTGCCTTGCACTGAGAAACAAGCTAAGCGTGACCTTGAGGTTATTTTGGACGGAAAAAACGGAGATTAAACCACTAAATAAACTTTCAAGTCCCTGAACAATCGCATCCAATTTGTCCCATAGAAGTGCGGTGATAATCATTTAGTGACCGTGCGTTGTCATTTGTTGTCATCTCGACCACCAAACGTTCTGTGTGTTTGATACACTGAGACTAGCCGAACTAAAATACCGTTTTAAATTCCCGCGTTTGTCTTGGGTTTTTGCAGTCGGTAGAGTACAAGAAGTAAATTGACACGTTTAATTTGTGAAAATCTGCAGTGTCTCTACAAGTAGCTGTCCGCGATTCGTTTGATAAGCATGCCTAATATTAATACGACTATCCCATTCACATAACCCAATCAGTTTCCACCTGTTTGTCTTTCAGGAGAGAGTTGAATTTACGGGTTGAATTTACATCCATCGTTTTTTGTGTACAGGCTTATCTCTTCGTTCGAGCACTCTACCCCTTGTCTCAGAGTTCGGGGACCATCCCAGCATGCAGTGGTTATGCTATTTAACCATACAGGCTCACGATCATCAATATCAACTGTAAAAACCACGTACTGGTCTTACATTGGTTGTAGCTGCAACCGTTACGTCCACCGATTATTTGGGGAGATAGCGTAGCTGGCTGCGCATTGGTAGACGCTGATAAATTGGTGCGTAAATACTGCGCTGTCAGAGAATTGGGAAGGGAGCTATGCATTGAAGTCAATACCGTGAATTCACGAGCGTCATTGAGGGCGCGATTGGGCCATGTCTGACAATATATCTAACCATTGATATAGTCCGTCTCGGAGTCCCCATTCAGGGGGGCGACAGCCATTGGCGTTTGCTTATAATAACTTTCATACTTCGTTTGACATCCCCCGGCTAATTTCCTACCTTCGCGTGGTTATGTAAAAAGAACCCTTAGAGAAATTCGGTCGACTGGCATACGGAACAGGTGACCAAGTTAGCACAACCTATGCCGCGCGATCAGTTCAGGTATCGTTGGTGAGTTATTACTCCCGATTACCATTCGAGGTATTTCAGCATTGCTAATCAGGTGTTCCAAACAGGTTCGGGTAATGCTCCGAAGATATCGATGGCCACACACTGAAAGACCTTCGACTTCCTCGGCGCGCAGCTGCTAGGCTTCCGACCCGTATAGTACTATGTATCAAACCGCAGCATTATAAACGCGACCCTTAACGGATAAGCTGTTGTCACGCCTATACGATAGGCGACGCAGATTCACAAAAGCTGCTCTGGCCTCGCCAATCCGGATGAAAATAGCATATTTCGCTAGACCACCGGAAATAATACAGCTGCCCAGGTAGACAAGCTTGTCTACTACCTTCATTAGCTCATCCGCAAGCACAAGGTTAGGGTTCGAGCCAACCCAGTCTTGCAACAGCACTTTATACTGTGCCAGTGTGAGACAGGACCATTTAGATTATTCAATATCACTGACATAACCACGGCATCAGATCCAAGACGAGCAATGTCCTTTGCGTACTCGATATGTGTGAGCGGAGAATTTCCCGGAAGACCAGCGTAGACTAACCCTTATCAAATATCAGGAGGATTGTAAAAAAATTCAGTAGGTATCATCGATTAGGTGTCCATTTCTCATTTGGTGGTAGGCTCAAAGTGTCAAAAAGTGTTAAAAAGTCCTGTTTGCAGTATACCCACAACATCAAACTAATGAATTCGACTCCTCGTTGTCAAGGTCGATATTCACTGACAGAAATAAGTGATATGTGGCACCGACCTTTACAAGTCCGTACCTTCAGTATTTTCCCTCTCACTGTGTGGTGATGTTAAGCAGAGCTTGTGAATCACAGTTGGACCCAGGGGTACATATATGACATTATGCAGCGTCCGACATACCTTAGCTAGTAGCGCGCTTGCCTAGCATGTGAGCAATCACTAGTTTCTCTCCAACATTCTTGTACGCATTCTTAATCGAGAAGTCCCAAGTAAATCGTATGAGAACATGAGATCCTTGTGGTGGGATTGTGCTGTGCTTTTTCAGGTGGGTGTGGACTAGAAGGGTCGACAGTGTCAGCAGGCTACTTTTACCTAACACTATCCATCATTTGTCATATGTCCTACTGTGGATGAGGAAAGTGGTTGTTGATTAGCCAACATATCCATAAAAATGGCCTTCGAGGTAGAGCTCTTTGTGTTCAATTCTTTAGCCGGGGAAATGTACATAAATCTTATTTTTGCCTCCCATTCAATTCAGGTCGGCCAATTTTAAGGCCACTTTTTGTGGACGCCACTCATCTTACTTCTAAATTAATATAGTTCTAACACGGATAAAAACTGAATTTTGAGCTTCAAACAAGTCAGCCTAGAATGGTCTCCTGTTTACTCGCACGATACTGTCACAATTTGTTCGCTGCTACTCATTATCTCTAAGGTTTGATCATATAAACTTCACCGTCGGGGCGCTGTTAGAGTTCTGAGGATGTGTTGCGGTAGGGCTGCAGTCACATGAACGACTCAAAGGAGTAAACGGTTGTCAATCTAGCAATTAAACTGGACAATTCAAAAAGAAGAAATCCATCAAGGATGTCCACGGAAGAGAGTGGAGTACTCAAAAAGTGCTACTTTGGGGTTCTGACCTCAAGGTGTATCGGGACATTGTCCCGTGTCTTAGCTCAGCCACTGGGAAATGCCGGGAGCAGTAGAACACACTGGCATTCGTTGTAGTCCGATGTTCCAGTGAGCAACAGGAACCAAACTATAAAAGCAAAAATATGAACCCCAGTTGAAAGATGTTCTGATAACAGCGTAACATATGTTAAAGGAAATGGAGCTCATCGAAAGCTCAGCCCATACCGTCAGGCTTAAACCCACCGGACTTGCTGATAGGGCGCAAGAAATTATTGGACTCGAACAGACGACACAATCTAGGGGAAGAACCTAAGTTGCTGCTGATCAAACACTCGTGATTACGTGGTGACTAAAAGGCTGCGATCAGAAATCTCACCACAGATTTGTTAAGTATGATTTGCTGATAACTCTCAGTATGGAGAAATCTTTCTATTCTGTTTTTCAGATCAATTCAACTGTTAGATGAAGTTTCAGGTGAAACCCAAAGTTGCTTCAGAAAAAAGTTTATTGCTGAATGCTCATACATAGTTCGTAAACCCTCCATTGTCATCCGTAACTATTAGCTTTTGTGGCCTGAATTCGTAAACACCTCAAGCAAAGCTTGAACAGATTAGTTGAAGGGTGTCTCAGTATAAAACATGCGACATTAAGCGAATTCTTTCTTGTATCTAAATTTTCCATTCTATGAAAGTACTCCTTTGAATCGGAATTACAGAAACGGAAGTTTCCGTGACTTCATTTATTACTTGATCGTTGTAGCCCACTTTCACTTTTGGCTAGCTGCCTAGTAGTACGTATAACCAATGAGTCTGGGAAAACTGACTCCGGGTTTTACGCATTGTGCTTCATCTCTGTTTCTTCTTTGTTCTTTTGGATCGTTCTTCTGGTAAAATGCAACGCTAAAATGAGCCGTATTATTGTGAGAAATTCCTTTAGTAACCTATGTGTAATTGTCTTCTGTACCTCAAACTGACATTAAGGTTACCCTCCGGATAAAGACACATTGTCTAGGAGTAAATGAATTAGACAAACAGGATTTGAAGTGTGATCCCTAGTCCCTCCTCTTGGCTCAGGCACTCCCTTTCTTGATGGACCAAGTTTCTTTCGATCCTGAATGCTTTGCAGTTGAAGTGATAGGCGGGAAATTTCCATCCACTTCCAAAAAAGCCCGAAAGATTTCGGCTCATTTCCCCTCCAACGAGACCTTGTTTCAGAAATCAGGAAGCCTAAATTTACTTGGTTGAGGATCTGAAGAACTTGGCTCTCAAGTAACGGTGGGCAAGAATATTCAAACGTCAAATTCAAATCAATCAATCACGCAGGGCATACGACGTTTGGCATTGACAAAAGAATGAGCTAAATCAAATCACCAAGAAAAGTTTTGGTGACCAATGCAGGCAGAAGTATGGCTAGTCTATTTGTTCTTGTTCCTCGATTTCACACAGAAGGCCCAACAATATAGGGCTGGACCAATCAATGATAAATCATTGTGAACTTTAGTTTAGACTTGGTTACCATGGTCTAATGAGCTAAATCAAAATCACCAAAAAATTTTTGGTGACCAATGCAGATCGAAGTATGGCTAGTCTATTTGTTCTTGTTCCTCGATTTCACACAGAAGGCCCAACAATATAGGGCTGAACCACTCAATGATAACTCATTGTGAACTTTAGTTTAGCCTTGGTTACCATGGTCTGCTGAAGTTACAAAACAGACGGTTCAGCTCAGCCCTGTAGATTACGAAAAACACTTTTTAATTAGCCAGAGATAACCAATGAAAACGTTGGAGCAGCGTCGGAAAATATTTCAGTTTTGTCCTGAAGGTAAACGTGCACATAATCCACTTCTCAAATCTCAACCCGCTACTGGTTGTTTGTGTTTGAGGAATACATTTTGGGTGGGTTCAGATATCAACAGAATACTTTGAAATACAAACAAACATAACTAGTTCCCCAAAACCTATACACTTTTTCACATGAAACCGGGGATCTGCTCGGTACAGTTCCGTGAACAGACAATCGCCGCTCTCAAAAACTCGATTTGATCAGAGCTTACAGGCTGTTCCTGCTGGTGTTACTAAGCTCACCTGTACTCAGTGAGATGAGTTGTACTTAATAAGATTCAGTGGACAGGGCTCTGCATCTTGCTGTGTTTCGAGGTGAAAGTTTATTGGAACACAATTAGTGGTGTCAGTGCCCTCAGGCGATTAATAGGCCTCAATCATTATCCATAAAAAAGTCTCCCAGACTAAATGCAGTCAGTCATCGGTGTAGTTGATTTTTTTCGCATTTCTGTGGGGAAATTAAAACATTTCGACAACGCTTAGCTGTTCGCTATTTTCCCGACTTAGTTTGTAACCGACCTTTGTTTCTAAAGTGAGTGTTAGACTTGTGTTGGCAATTTTAGACAACACTAATTGAAAGACAAAACAATGCGGCAAATTGCTGCTCTTTCGACTCTGTTGGTTATATTTTTGGAGAGATTTTTCGCGTAAGAAAGGTTTGAAACTACCTAGCTCTAAAATATCCCTCTCATATGACAACTAATTTTGAATCTTTCAAGTTTTCATAGTTTTTCATTTGAGGAGCCGCATTCCTACAGTTGTGAGTTCTCATGTTATAGGCTTGCTTCTGTGTCGATCAAAAGTCGCTTGGCAATTTTGACTTCATCAGTAAGGTGATTGCCCTAAAGATACAAATGCATGAATGTCTCAACAAAATTGAATTGTTGCCAGTCCCAAAAATAGGCAAATTATAAATTGTAGATGAGACCCCATCTGGTTCAGAACACTATCATTTTTTGAGGAAATATTCTTCTTGAGTCAGTGTTATTAACCAGTAGATCTTTTTGCTGTTACCTAACGTTAAAATTTGTTCCGTATTTCCATTTTCTAGTATTTATTGTTACTTCTCCATCTACGGAGCTTAGGCATGGTCGGATACTCAAGCCCAGACCGGTTCCGAATAGCCTTGCATCACACGGACACATCCATCTTAATAACTCGGTTATGCTACAGCGTGATGTAGAACGCTTCAACGAAAGCAACACTGTCAACAAGATACGTCAATTCTGTTGTGCACAGGATGCTTGGCTCATATTGTCGCTGAATCCAACGGCTGGCTTATGTGTGACAGGTTAGTCATCAACCGTGAACCAATGGCTAATATTGTGTCCTCCTGAAGAGGTAAAACTTTGATCCTATTGGTCTGAGCGTGTCATTTTTATCTAGCCTTACTGATCAGTAAAAATGGCTCCATCTGTATTTAAAAGTTGTGGCCAAGTCAATGTATTTTCCTGCATAATTACTAATTCTCTTGTGAAATAAATCAAACTTAGATCATACTTACATCTGATGATCACTTGTTCATGTCCGTTCACACTAATTCAACCAACAAATTATCTTACGCAAGTGGTGGGCTACCTGTAACAGGCGCACGCAAATCCAAAGTTCAGTGAGCCTCTGATACTGTTAACACGTCCCATCCAGCTTCGCTACAAATCATCAACCATATCTACATTTCAGTCATCTGTAACGTGTCCAACATGCAAGACAATGTCGGGGCTCTATCATCTGTTGACATCCCAGTGTGACAGAGCAGCCACAGTTGTCATGACGAGCTGCAGCTACAGTGCACCAAACTAAGGGTCACCTAATAGACCTTGAAATTCTGGGGCCTTCAAGTAGAAACCGTTTTTCAGCCTGGAAAGAATCGTAAAGCATTTATTGGTAATAAATCTGTGGTTCAGCTTGGAACAGCCTTCAAAACATAAGGAAAACCAGTATAAAATTTGTCCATTAGTGTGCTTTGACATAAAACAACTGCTTGGAGTTTATCCATTAGACGTTGTTTGGCAATATCCGAACTACTTCCTGTTCATTTGATTCCTCCGTATAGTCCAACACTGATAAATAGTGAACCACGCTTGAGAGATAAACTCATTTGCAGAAAAATTCGTTTCGCAGGAGACTCACCTGGAACCCAGCTGAACCTCTCGTTCATTATGTCTTCACAAACGCCTTTCATTAAGCCCACTTGTAAACTCTGCAAACGTGTTGAAACCACTCAATCTATTTTTTCAGATGAACGCCAGAACTCATCACGTGCAGTGAATGGAACGTGTCAATTTCGTATTCGTGCACGACCGGAACACTGGGTCGTCCTAGAGGCTGTCCGACCGTCATCCAGTCGGTCTCCAACCCATGTGTACATCGGTCCAGATGGCTATGTTGTGAGCGGAGCCGCTGGACCATTATCCGTTCCTGGAAAACTGCTCATGGTTCATGCCAAGGTGAGATGTTTACTTCAGTCAGTTATCACAACACCAAGGCTTGATCTTTATTACATTTCAAAAGAGACACCACTGAGTGGACCGAATTAAGTTTAGCTATGGTAAGTTTATGTACGACAAACATCTTAGAAACAGAAGATCAAAGCTACCAGCTATTTCAAAAAATTCACTGTGGAGGCTTGTATCACCAGATGACAGAATTTGAAAAGAAAACTGCAAATTTGTTAAGTCAAGATAAAAAGATGAAAATAACGATAAAGACTTGAGAAATGGATGTATAACATACGTTGTCGTCTTTTAATTACTTGTCAAAGTTTACGCAAACGAAGTAAGGAGAATCATGTACCTGATAAGCGTGGCTTCAGTCGCTTCGAACACTGCTTCAAACAGACACGCTCAAGTTTGTTAAGTAATAAATGTCATCAGTTGTAAACACATGAAAGTATAATTAGTCCAATCGAAAACAAAGGGTCAGTAGTTGTAAACTGAAGATGACGGTGAATGAATGTGGCGAGCCAAATCCAAAGAGTGAGGCAGGAGTGATCTGTTTTCATCATCAACATCCTGGCGTAGTAAATATTTGTGCTCAGCTACCCTTTCCCATATGTTATGCATTTTCCACTGACCCAGTCGAAGAATCATCCTTTCAGCAAATCGCTGAGAATGGTGGGTATCGTCCTTCAGTGTACCGAATGAATCGCATATGTTTCAGTCGGGATAATGGTGCACGGTTTACTCTGTTAACAACTGAGCTCCACATCAGATGTGGAATATTTGAGAATGTACACAGAAATTCAGATACATGACTCATTTTGCCGTGCTTCATTAAGTAAATCGGAGGGAGTGAACAGCATGCAGAGCGTTTCGGAGCATCCGGTTTACCCAAGTTATGTTCCAGCAAAGTGGATGTTGTTTCTCACGGAGCGACGCTTAGTGTGGTCGCGTGGTTTTACTTTTGAGTACACGTACACCGTTCACTATTTTGCTCGTGTTTCAGCGAATTTCCGGACTATTTTTCCTTGCATTCACTATCCCCAGGAAAAATAAATATGTTGTCATTCGTGGACGTCTATTTCAAGCCAATTTGTCTGTCAATTCGGGACCCAAATCATAGTGTGCACAAGCTGAAGCGACGGCACAGTTCACAATACTAACATTTATAGCGCATTACCTAGTAGAACTGAGACGCTTCCAGTTCAACAGAAGGATTAAGTCAACATGTAATTAAGACAGAACTATGGTGACAATTGACGATAGCTGGTAACATGTTTGGCTTACACCGTACGTCTAAAATGATAAACGTGATCATGTGTATTGACCACACTCTAAATAAGGTTTCAAGCTGTATTAAAAAATCTTTAAGACACATGACAGTTGCATAGCATATGCACGCAGTAGAATTTGGATTTCAGCATTTTCCTGGATTTGCACCGGCTATCTTGGAAACTATCTGATCAAACTTTCCGATAAATTTCTGAGCATTTAGTCGAAGCTACTGGTCATTTTCGGCTCACCCATAGAAGCATTGCGGGTCATCTGAGTTTCGCTTATCATTAGCTGCAGACGAAGTGGTGGGTTGCTGCTGCGCAGTGTCATAAATTCTCTTGGGTGAGTGATATCAACATTGAATGTCGACATGAGCGAGTCAGAACCCGATTTATGAGCTGCATGGTAGTGTGATGGCGGCTGCAGCCTACTAGAGGAAAACATGCTTCAAATTTAACTTTCGTCCGGTTTTCGGAGTCCAGTGATGCCTGGAATCCGGAAAGCTCTGCAAAGTTGTCTCTCTCATTCTGGAAGTCATCAGTAGTGTCTCCATGAAGCTAAGAGGTACTTTATTATACTATACTATACTGTAATATACCACACTATACTATACCATACCACATTACACCATACTATACTATACTGTACTATATTATAGTATATACTATGCTATACTGCACTGCGCTGTACTATACTACACTACACTATGCTGTGTATTTCACACTTTTCTTTTTCAGGGCTGCCTTCGGGATGAAACCATCCTCTGGCTTTGCACCAGTTCTCAACAAACGCTGGCTGCTTTGTTATGTGACAAGTCCACCGACCAGTCAGATCTACAGCAGATACCATCCGAGAGTGAGTGGTCATTCAGGCTTCGAGGCACGGGTCTTCGAAACAAAGAGGCCTACTGGCGCGTACAAAAAGTCTCCAAAGGTATTCGCCAGTTCGAATCCGTAGCGTGGCCTGGACACTATCTACGAGTAGTCAACGGAAAAGTGGATGCTATGGTAATCTCCTGGTTTGTTGCTCGTAACCAAGATAGAGTGGCTGAAACTACAACCAAGATTCATAAGGCACTCGTTCTTGAGTGTGATCGTGTGAATCTACTACTCTTTTACTCACTGGCCTCAGGGAATGCTAAATATATTTAAGCTTAGAAAATACCTTCAAGTTTATGCAAAGCAGTTCAGTATTCATTCTTCACTTACTGGCTCAGTTTCGACTCACTGTGTTGTTACGTACTCGGTCTTATTGTGAATAATCGTATCCGCCTTCTTTGTAGGATGATATCGCTATATTTCTGCTTAAAGTGCACTGCTTCACTGGCCTTCATTTGGAATTTAGAGAAATATAGTGCGATATCTCGAATGTCGTGCCAACTGAAACAGAAGGCGATCTTTGTGAAGCACATTTATTTAAAGAACATCATGAACTAGAGATTCAGTTAAATCACCCGTGACAACCAAACTGATATGCTAATGAGTGTATTTTCGAAGACTGTGTTTGTCATTCTCCGGTTTGAAACAGTGAACGTTTCGTTTTCTGAAAAGCTTGGGAGGCGCACGGTAGATTTATTTCTGGACAGCGTCTCGTTTTTGACACAAAGTCTTTGTCAGGCCAGGTGAATAGGTTACGTGGTTGGTCGAGATTTAAGGCTGAAGGAGAAGTAATCAGCTAAGTCAAACTATTGGGTGTTAGGATTCTGCCAAGTGGTTTTGTTAGTTCGGCTGGCTCAGCAGGTGTTAAGACCGATGAGGATCCTGCATGGATTTGGGTCCAGCTTAGGATCTAGTTCTTCTGGTTCGCTTCACACGAAGATTCCTCATCAGCTTCATTCACACTTTTTGGCGATCTGTGTGGATGAGAACATCAAGATATTGTGTGCTTAAACTAAAGCCTCATTCGGAATACAGCTCCCCGAGAATAAAGGACAGAAAGCGAACATTTAAGGTGCTGGTCGATGAAAGTGCATGAAGAGTAAAATGAACGGAACTGCATGGACTCAAGGGGACGGAAAATGATCGTAGGACCTGGTGGGACGAATGAGCCGATATTTCATGAACCAGTACGGGTGGTCATGTAGAGAGCAGGTCTCATAAAAGTAACAAATGGGATGTTGGTAACTAAGGTGAACTACTCATTCGGATTGCTTATTCAGGTTGCATTGAATGAGCAAACCAACTCCGCGCAAAGGAGTAGTCTAACTGCAGGTTAGTTTCACAGGTGAGGTGCTCAGGTTTATAACTTCCTTGAAGGAAAAATCAACTCTCCCGTTAGATTTTGATAAAAAGCTCCCGGTAAATAATCTGATGAGTGGTCATTGTAGAAGGGCAGATAAATAGTTGAGAGGGGATAATCGGTTTCGGCACAAACAACCCCTTTACAATGGAAGCAGTGATAGAGCAGTTAAGCAAGTGGGGCTGAGTGAAGTCAAATTTACTGGAAATTCTGGCTTCTGTGAGCGACAGAAGCCAGTAAAAGACGATCGACGGGACTTAAATCACTGCCCAAACAACGAATATTAAGGTCTTTTGCGCTGCCCTGTCTTTAGTCTACCTTAAAATGTGGTAGAAGCAGTCAAAGCCTACTAACAGCTGCAGTGTAAGTAAATCTAATGAAACTTCTGTGCTAAACTTTTTGTCTGAACGAAAACTGACTGACGCGTATATGTGTAGGCACAATTTCAAAGCTTTTTATCTAAACTGATGATAAGTACTGGGTAGGTTGTAGGACACTAGTCCTAAGTTGATTCCGACCTAACGAAGTCAAAGAGGCCGTTCCATCGTTGTTGTGACCGTGGCGCTTCCTGTCCCTATTTATCCGGCCGTCCCGCCATTATTTATTCAAAATCCTCATTGTCCGTTTGACAAGCCGAACCCCAGATGGATACTTCCAGATGTTGTTGCCTGTAGCCAGTAAACTTTGTGTTATGTGGATTCTTCAACATTTCTGGAGTTGGATTTCAAACACTTCTGCAGTTACTGAGTACATTTGCTCTGTCCAAGCCAACTTAAACGCACTTGGTGAACAGTCCAAAACTTGGTTGGACTTTTTGACCTCCTAAGATTTGTTTTCTTGAAGAAGAGCGCGTTCCATGTTTGTTTGTAGAAATTTATATTATTTCGACATTAGATGCCACATCTAACAGGTTTTCGCATTTTTCTAATCGACCAATTATAGGGCAGTGGAGGAACGGATTGCCTGTTTCACATCGTGCGTCAGCGATCCAAAGGGTATATTCAACTCTCGCCTAGTTCCAGTCCGTCAGCCTTGGTTGGAATGGAAGAAGACGGTGAAGTCGCCCTGTTTGCAGCTTCGGACACGGACCACACCCGCTTCTATCCCGAAGTTATAACATGTGAGCAGTTGAAAAATGCATT